ATGCTATACATATACAACAAAAATGATGACTTAATTAGCTCATTATTATTTTATTACGTTAAAATATTAGAAAATAAGATATGTATTTTGCTATATTTACATTTAACATTACTAATCGCATCAGAAAATCATTTATTTCTCGTGGAAGAGAACATTTAGCTCGTGGTGTTAAAACAAGATCGTACGTTCACTTCACATACATACATTCGCATGATTTTAATGTGGCAGATGATTGATTAATTTCGCTTAAGGTCCTAGTCTAGTTGATATACATCTAATCGAAATAATCAAAACGCTGCCGATGATTCATATTATCATTTATCTTTAGTAAAATTATAGTAATAATTATAAATTATCGAGTTAACTTTTCTTATAAGTTGTACATTGTTTCACAAAATGTGGCGATAGAAGATACTAAAAAAAAGTATATGCTTAGTTTTCTACTTGGTGTAACGCGGGAAGACTCAAAGATTGAATATATCAAAAGTTCTTTTGTACATATGTCATTAAAGATTGAAGAATCGAATGCACTAAAAAAGAAAGTGCATCGTAATATAAATATAGTTTTATACAATACTTGTTCGAAAAAGTATACTTTTTCTATAATATTTCTTTAACTTTTTCTATAATAGGTAAACATGCGAGACTAGATTAGGACCTTAAAAGATTACATGTGATATATGAAAATCTCCCCAATTGTTAAATAAATACTTATCAATATAAGTATAAATTAAATTTTCAATTATTTAACATAAGTATATTCAGATAATATATATATATCCTAATATAATATAGATAAGGTCAAAACTGTACTGCATTTATCATCCTCATCAATTAAATCCCGTCATTATGTACAAACTTGCCAAAGATAACAATATATTATATATAAAGGAGAAATTTAAATTTAAACATCATTACTTATAATTAATATAATTTCAAATTTTGTTGAAACAATTTGTTGTATCATATAAGAATTGCCAAGTCTCCTTCAACATTTTTTAAACAATAAAATTACAACGGCTAATATAAAATATATAGATGTCAACACGCATGTTCTTCTGAATGTTGCATCTTGAAAATCTTCACTACATATTAAACTCGATTGTCAGGGACGGACAGTGAGGTTTTTAAACGTAACAATGAGAAATAGTCTATTTGTGTCTAGTAATACTATTGGCCCCTCCGAATAGTACGAGGTTAATCTTTTTCCGACTATTCGCAGTGCGAATAGCATTAAAAATCTTTGCAAAACATAGACACATGTAAATACATGGAAAAATACTATCCCATCGCTGCAAACACAACATCTGCATTTAGAAAACACAATAATTATACATTAGTATTGAGTAAACGCGCATTAAAGAACAATAGAAAAATTTAATAATTCAATAAAAATTTAATGATTATAACATTATCAGATAATGTCATTGTGTCGAATAAAACATTATTAAAATATTTAAAATAAAAATTATTACAAAGACAATGATTTCATTACTTCATTTCAAGTCTGCCATAAAATCATATTGTGTGCCAAAAATATAAAAATTATTATAAATAAATGATTCCTTTAAAAAGAATTTAAAATATTTTTAACCAAAAAGTATAAATGTACTTATACCACGTAAAATTTATAATGTATAAATTCTTTGTGATGAATTTCCGAAAAATTACAAATATGATTTTGCGATTCTTTGTGCATTATAACGTGTTAAGATACACTCACATAGCGCGTTCACTCAAGCATTGTGCAATTGTTGTGTTTGCCGAATATAGCCAGATGATGATTACAAGTAGTACTTTTTATATTTCATAACTGTTTATATCTCAATGCGTATAAACACTTATGTATGTTTCGATCGACGATTGTATCTTCGGCGGAGGTAGCGTGGTCAATTAACCCATTGCCTTCTCAACTCATCCGCGATTGATTAAACACGGTACAGTTTTTCCCTCGTTATGTCAAAAATCAATTGACAAAAGATTAAAGAAGGGCCAAGGGAGGGGCGTTATAATTGGCGAGAAATATTCGTGGTTCGGCGGGTGTGAGAAATGGGCTAATCGACGCGATTAACAGGTTTTAACTTCTTTAATTTATTTCTTTAATCGCTAAAAATGCTTAACAACGTGGATAACGATTTTTTTGCCTCCCGAAATACATCGCGAGCAAGCTCTTAAATTTATTGCTTCTTCTATTCTAAAACTGTCCCGTACATACGACTTCGGCGCTCAACGGTAACATCCCGCGAGCACGGCTCCGTATTTGACATCAAAAATCTCCGTAAGAGAAGACAAACAAAGTGTTAAAATTCATCAAATCTGCTGAGCGCCGAAGACATGACATCACAGTAAAACATCCAACCGCTCTTTCTTCTTAGCCGATGATTTATTATTATTAGTATATCGAAAATACCGCGGCTATACGGCGACGGCGGCAGCGCAGCACAATCTCTTTATCAACGACGTGAATTAATAAAATATTGACAATATACAATAATCAAATAGACGCTCTTCGCTGTATAACGATTGATATACGAAAATAACAGAAAGCGATCGACGGTCTTTATTAAGCCGACTTTTAATTCTAGTATGTCGTCAAGTGTTTCCCATTATCCCTTCTATCGCTTTCACAGGCAGTACTAAAACTAAGAATCTGCCACGAAGCGTAATATGTACAAGGGCTAGAGATTAATATTTCAGCTTCGGATTGTGTTTTGCGAGCGACGACGACGATGAAAATACTGATTATTGATGTTTTGGCAGCCGATGTTCGCTCTAAGCGAATAGTATTTATTAGCTCTATTACTGGATGAGGAGAATATATTCTGTTTAGCAATGCACTTCCAGCAGTGCGTACGGTCGATCCAGCTTTCTCGATTACCTATCTTAACACGGATTGTCCAGTACCAAGTGGTTTTGTCTTCGTACTTTCGGGGACGTAAAACCCTGTATGCACATAAGCGCGTACGAGTAAAAAGAACCAATCAACGTCAAAAGAAGGTGGGCAGTGGTTTCTTGATTTTTTTTTTTTGTTAATATTAACATTCGTACGGCCGATCGTCCTTTCGTCCTTTCTCCTGCTAAACGGTTCATCGCGAGGCACTTGGACAAATCGACTTCGAGTTATTGCGGAGCCGGACTACTTTTTCGAAGATCCAGTATCCAAACAATGTCGTATTTTACGTCTTATCATTGCCAAAAACCGATGAGATACACCAGCAGTAACAAATCTCGTGCGTTACTATTCTCATGCTTAAGCATGTCATTGCAAAAATATAGCCAACCATACGAATGCACGAAATACTCGATCCGGCCTCGATCTTGACGCTTTGTTGCTTCCATTTTCAATTTTTACCTGCGAATTACGTAGACGTTGATGGCGACGAGACCTGATCCGGTTGATAATATCTCAGGCCATTTATCTGTAAAGGAAAATAAGCTTGAGTAAAAATAATTGAGATTATATCTACTCAAAAATATATCATTTTGTCGTTTATCATACCGTCATGTCGTATTCTGTGATGTACGCTGGGATCTCAAGTTGATCAGGGGGCATAACTTCATAAAGATATTCTACTCCGGCTAAATTGTGAACCTTCTGTTTAATAGCTGGAGCCATGAAGGTTGTGAACCACCACGTCATCATCTGTAGCAAATAACTATTTTATTTAAAAAAAATGTCAAGAGATTCTTTAGTATAAAATTGCAAGGAAAATAGTTAAAGTAGCATCTAAACGTATCTATAAATGACCAATAATATTAATCAAATCTTAGATTTTATTATAAAATTGCTGCGTATTTACTAACGAAGTACGAATAGCCAGGAAATTTGATACGATCGTTTCAAAGATGATTCGTCATGCATAAACGTGGGAAATACAATAATAGCGTTCAGTTTAATACAATACAATTTTGCGTAACAATTTTACTTAAACAACGTTTGTTAAACATAAGATCTTCGCTCGTATATCATGTAATTACGATGCAATAATACCATTACTAACCTTGGTCCAGAAGGTAGGATGGATAATGTAGAAATGTTTTAGATTCTTCTTATATCTGAAAAAGAAACTTTGTTTCAAGATCGCTATCAAATTTCTGCAAACAAGCGGAATCAAGTTGCGTAGACAGCTCGTGTTTGCGCAACAAACTAGGATTAAGATGGTAATTTGACAATATTTTATTTTCTATGTTTTTCTTGTTGGGAAGTAAGGAAATAAAAATTACATTTTCATCCAAACTGACACATGACATTGTTTAAACATTCTCTTTTGTTTTATTTTATTAAAAATTCCCAAAGAATTACCAAAGAAAAATCTAATGAGTCATATGTATCTCTTATATTCTTTAAATCTTTTAATTTAATAAAAATGTGAAACTTTTTGAAATAAAGAGAAATAAAGATTGCAAAATTTTCTATATTTTGCTTCGAATATTTTGCCTTATCCGTACGAATGGATAGAGGCGAGGTTGTGATTCTACATTAAAACGCGATCAATAAATTCGATGCGTTCAATATCTCAAGCGTACAACTTACTTGTAGGGAAGCACGTTGTAGACTTCGCGCAGCCAATGTAAACTGGGGTAATTGCTGCTGGACGTAAGGGTGTGGAAATACGCGATAACATAATCACCCTTCACGATGGGATCCAACAATTGTATCAGGTACAATAGGGCCTAAAGTCACGAGAGACACAGAGATAAAAAAGGATCAGTATATTTCACTAATTACATTCGTTGTCAACGTGAAAAGACAAGTGAGATTGTGCGCTCTTTAAAATATGTTTGAAATCCATATTACGTAAAAAAAATGCGTTGTCAAGTTGAAAAGTAGGGAAGCAGGAGTAAATATGTCCTAAAATAAACGCTGCGTAAATATTCTCGGGATCGATGGGACGTCAGCGGCGAGATATACAGAATGTGTTTCGCAAGGTTTTCCTACGTCGTGAAATACGTGATGTATCTCCTGTTGATTCTAGTGGAAGAAATCAACGTCGCAGTTTTTTTGTCATTTCATCGTTTCACCTTTATGAAAAAGGTTGAGCTCCGCTCAAAGCCGAGTAATGTCGGAGAATTACGAGCGATCAATGAACTCGTATATAGCAATATATATATCGCAAGGACACATCAGTGAGAAATTTAGGGTGCGTCAATATACGATTATATCTCATAATTACCATAAGCAAAAAAATTTGCTATTATTATTATTATTATACAAATTCATAGAAATTTGTTTGACGCAAAATTATTTTTTATTTCCATTATTTTCATTAAATGTCTAATATAAGAATTGACTTTTCAAGGGATGCTGCAATATTTGACATCTGTAATTTTCATCAGTTCAATATTCATAACAGGTATTTACAAAATTATTATGTATGTAATAATTTTTATGTTGCTTTCATTACATTATTCTTAGCTTTTATTAATACAAAGTTATGATGTCACTGAAAAAATAATAGATCACTGAAAAAGTAATAGATTTCAAAGCTATTTCACAAACGTATCCTTATGCGATCCAACGATGCGTGTCCGTTTACGATAAAATGATATCATTATATAATACATATGATTGTTATATTTTTCATAAGACGATGAATAAATTGAAATTTTTCCGCTTCGAGAATTTTTATTGCTTTGTCGACGGAAGACAAATCAATGGAACTAGCGAATGAGTGAATTCGCGCCAAGTAATGACGTCGACGTTATCCCGTAAATTGCAAAACGTATCACTATCTGTATCGCGGCCCTGAAGACACGTTATCTCAGGTCGCTGTGTAATTAGCATCCTAATTGAGCGTAAATATTTCATCTTGAAAGCAGGTCAGCGAATACGGAACAAAAGTGCGGAGAAAAAGATTAAAAAGTCTGATGTTTTAAATTAATAAATTTAACGAAGGGCCTCAGCATTGATAACGGGTGGTAATATAGGCGTTGACGTTTCTTGCCTTAAAACATGCATTCTCGCACGAACGCTATGTATACATGACGTTGATTCAACAGCCGCTACGTGGCAAAGTTATATTTTTAGCTGTACCGACGAATCTCTATATGACGTCGTTGATATTCTTATCTCGATTAAAATCAAAGTAGCGAGGCATCCTAGACTGTTGGTAACAGATCGCAATCGGTAATCGAAATAAAAAAAAAAAATATTTTTACAAAATTAAAAACTTTTCTTTCTCGTGCGAAAGATTTGAATTACATGAACAAGTAACGATGTACAAGTTAATGATGTACAAGTTACGGTGAAACGTAAATAAATCAATTCAAAAAGCAATTGTTAGAAAAATGAAATATTATACAAAATTAAAAGCTTTTCTCTCTCGCGTGAAAAATTTGGATTATATGAACAAATAATTAATGATGTACAAGTCACAGTAAAACGTAAATACATTATTCAAAAAGCGATTGTTAAAATATTCATGACATTTTAAGGTAGAATAATTTACGAAATTGCACGTGTATATAGAAATATAGAGACAAGTTTAAAAAAAGTATGCGTTCTGGTTAACAAGGTTCTACTTTTAAATATCGAATTTTTTAAAATAATTAATTAATTAATTAATTTTAATAATAATAATTGATTGATTAATTAATTAATTTATTTATTTATTTATTTATATGCTTCACATGAATATGTTTAAATTCGTTCATTTTATACTTTATTTAACACCTGAGATATCTTATTATTGATAGTATCAGAAAATGTCTAAAAAAGAAATTGTGTTAATAAAGTTGAGATATATTATTATATATAAAAAAGATTGATACATCGCAAATTATTCCATTTTTTTGTCAGTTTTTGCAAAATTGTAGCAAAACTAAGATGTTAATATCGATAAAAAAATATTTGTATAATTATTCGTTTTTTTTTGCCTATCAATTGCCGATTACTTCACAAGTGCCAATAATGTGGTATTCGTCACCGATGCAAATGGGTTAATAGGGTGAGAAAGTTTCATTGAGGATGGGGGTGAGCGTCGCGTCAACGTTGCAATCCGTTCTCGCCCTCCCATGGAGGAACTCGTTCCGCGGTCGGTCTATTTCTGGACGTGTAAATATCGATTCGCCACCCGCCTTTATATCCCACTGCGTTCGGACTATGAGCAGAATGAGGATGAGTCCGACGGAGAAAGGAAATGGTACAACCGGGCATAACTGGCGCAAAGATAGGTGCCAAATGATCGAGGCTTGGCCTGGTGGTGACATGACGCATCGAGTGGCATGCGCGAATCCGACATTCTACTCACAAGTTCGATAAAATTGACAAGAATCTAAAATACTTGAAAAAGAAGGAACTGATACAATTTCTCAACATGGCATAATTAAGAAACAATTATATATTTATTTTATAATAACTTTTCCGAAACGGTTCCGATATTCAATAAAAAAAAATTTGTTTTTCACGAACTTTAGCCAATGAAAATTTTGGAAATAGATTTCTCTATTTGATATCGAATATCTCTGATAGTTGTTTAGAAAAAATTTTCCAATTTTCTACAGACAGACTGTCAAACATCAACAAAATTAACATAATACTTTTTGTTGAAATTTCCTAAAAAGTTGTACTTGTCGGAAAAATAAAGCGATCTTCATTTAGAAAATACCGTGCACCTCAAGATCGTATCATTTTAATTTGCGAGCAATTTTTCAATAATGTTTGATTCTGAAATATCGGGACAATAATATAGTTATATTATAATACAATAATATAGTTTAAATGTATATGTAGCGTAATGAAAGAGCATAGAATGTAGCGTAATGAAAGAGCATAGAAAAATTAAAGACAACTATAAAATAAGAATACCTCTGTAAAACACTTTCTATTATACATTCCAAAGGAATCGATTAAATTACAAAGGGCAACCAAGAGCGGCTATAGACTAGCAGTATATTGTTGCAATCTCCGATTATTTAAAAATTCTACCACAGAAGAGTAATGACGATAATTGCGATCTAATATCCAATATTGAGATTATGATTTATGGAATTATATCACGAAAGATTAAAATTTCAATAAGGCCATTCTGTCAAATTTCTACCAGTTGAACGATGACATTTCCAATCTAGTATAACAACATTGATTTTCAGCGAGTAAAGGTCTTTACCTTATCTAGATTGATTTTAGTGGCTGGAAACCATTTGCCGACGAAGACCACCACTGGTCGGCCTTGCCGGTCCACGCCACTCTGGTACAGACAGCCGATCCCGGAGACTTCAGTCAAATCCTCTGTCTTTGCTCTCCTAAGAAGCCTTTCGTACCTACAAAACAATAATTTATCTTGTAATATAAAATATTCAATTCATGAGTCTTTTTTTATATTGTCCAAATACGATTAATGCACACATTTTATTTTCATAGTTACGATAAATTTGCGATAAGAATAATTTTCCTTAAAAATTGCTGCCAATACTATTGGTGCTTCGATTAATATTTTCAATCTACTGCGACGTAGACACGCATACATGTTTTTTCAATAATATTAAAATTTTTAAAAAGTTTTTAATAATACATCAAATAATGTAGAAACACATCGTAGAAGCACCATTGGTTGTGCGGACGATTTAGAGCAAATTCGAAAATCTTTTTCTTACGAATAAGACACCGAAAAAAAAACATCATTAAACAGTTAGGACAAAATCAACAATTTTTCTATTAAATCGATGATTTAATTCGAAACAAATTTCAAAGAAGAATTGGCAGCGTGATGCACACTAATCCGGAAATATGGCTCGTATCTTGTTAATTCGAGTATGGACAATGCGCAGCTTTAATTATGATACAGAAGACGTACTGTTTTGCATAAAACATAAAAGGTGACGTGCACAAACAGGCACTTTTGTAAAGCATACATGTAAATATCATGGATACGCTTAATCGACAAATACCCTCATGAACTTTGCATTAGTATTTACAGCGTAATGCACAGCTGTAATATGTACTTGTTATATTTTATTTTATTTTCAACAAGTAGCCAATTCTAAAGATATTCTATCGTAATAAAAAATGTCACTTAAGCATATTCACATGTCAATCAGTCACAAACTCCTTCTTGCTCCGAAATACATCGAGCATACATGCGCAGGTGGAACAAATCGTGATAACATTGTATCGTACAAGTTCTTTGATTCTGGGTCAATCATTATCGGCTCCTGTACATTGTTTGACGGTAACCGGCACAGGGAATGTATTGGACGGACGCCAATAAAAGAACAGAGATCAATAGTGAACCGATAACGAGACAGAAATCTGTCTGAATCGTGCACGCGGTTCGACGACGCGCGAATGAGCAACGAGCACTATTCCTGATACACACCGGTCCTCATCCTCGATGACATCCACCATGTCAATCATGACCATTCTGTTGTCACGTTCCCTTCGACGTGACTTCACCTCCCGCGATCTTGCCTCGGTAGAAAAAAAAGGGGGAAAGGGGAAAGAAGAAAAGGTGCAATCGGATGCTCACTAGCAGCCGTGCGTGATCGTCTTTTCCCGCGACATCCGGTTAAAAAAGGATTATCTCGCGGTACCGCGGACGAAAGACACCACGTACAGCTCCGTTCTTCGATCGGTGCCGAGGGACGCCGACGGAGAGGGATGGGAACGGCGTGACGAGTCGCGGCAAACTGAACGAAACCAAACCGAACCGCCTTGCCTAAGGAAAGAGAACCGCCTCTCTCGGCTGCGACGTCCGCGACGACCACGACGACTACGACGTCTCGTCTACGAGATCTTTCCCGCACCGCGCCGGGTCCTACGGAGTGGCACCGCACGGCGCTTGCCCGACTCGCGAAACGCTGCGTGTTCGATGCGCGAGGCGACGAGACGCGAAGTAGGGGTCGCACGAGCCCGTTGTTTAATTCGATCGCGATGTGTATTCCTTTAATTACAGGTAATATACCGCCCGCGACGCGGCCTTGAGTAACTGTCAACGTTTGTCGTTCTCTGCACTTTTTTGCAGTCATTTTTGTAATGAGTCGATCGGGAAACAGGAAGTTGCGCTATTTGCCGGGCACATTCACGTATGAACATTTTAAATAAAAAAGAATGTGCATTATCTGCATATGTGAAGAAGTGAATTGTTACTTAATATAAAAACAAATATGAGGAAAGAATTTTAAATGCGCGGATATCAGACGTCATTATGAATTTGCTTAGAAAAATATTCAAATTTTTATTGTTATTAAACGTCATACGGCCATTTTTAAGCGAAATATTTAGCATAATTTAAACGAAAGGTGAACCTTCGCAAATTGCTTGAATTTAACGACACAGCTGCTTTAGCATAAATACAGATACTTTCTTCGAAGCACCCTTTCATGATCGATCATGTATTTTCGATCGAATTTGTGTCAGACGACTGTGAAGGCCAATCTAAAGAACGGATAACGTTTCCATTTCGATACACAAGCCATTGCGATGTATATGTTCTAAATCAAATTGACAGATGGAGATTGAACGATTTATTAAACTTAAATGTGCATATTTGAAATCTTTATTATTTTGTGCATAAAACCTTCATTTAGGTCTTTTTTCTCAAAACAATAATTTTCTTTCAGTTATGCAAACGATGTTCTTGCATAACGGACTATTTCCATTTGAAAAGGCGAAATCTTGTTGCAATTATTTTGACAATAAAATTATTTTGTATATCCAATCATAATTTGTGAAATTATTTAAAAAATTATTAAAAATATAAGAGAAATATTGAGAAATTTTGAGAAAGACATGCTTTAACCTCGTGAACATCGACAAATTAGCATTTCGCTAAAATGTTCGTGCGTAGTAGAAACATTTGGTATTCGGGCTTGTTTTAGGTTGAAAAAGCAAATATATGCTTTACAGATTAATCGGGACAATCGCCGTCTCTCGCGAACTTTTAGATAACTCATGCATATAAATAGAATATTAAAAAATAAAATTCAATTATAATTCAATTATATATTCCGCAAATAAAAAAGAAATAATAATTTCGATTTAAACTAATGTAAACTAGATAATTATTAAAAAACAAAATTATTAAAAACAAAAAACAAACTAGCACATATATAAGATACGCATCGTTTCCTGAGTTACTATATATTTTCAAGAAAAAACTAAATTAAACTATAAAGACATTGACATTATACGCGATTACATCACGTTGTTGCTTAAGACTGCAGTTTCGTGACCGTGATCTCGATTAAATAGGTCCAAGGTGTTACAACGAAAGTATGAAACGAAAGTACTCCTTGATATCTGGATAGCTCTGTAAAATGGACGGATGAAGTTAAAACAATGTTAACCGACGAAATTATTTGTAAAGTTATCTGTATCAAAGTTATCTGTATCCAAATAGACTTTCATTACTCTCAAGAATAAATCTCATTTTGTAAGATTATTCAGTTTCAATATTACGTATAAAATGCTATTGATATTTTATAATACGACGGAAGGATCGACTATTATCTCATTAAAGCAAAAAACAGATTGTTCCACTTCGTAAAAGAATAATCACATGAGTAATGAGTCACTACCATTGATATAATCAATGGTTCGAGTCACACATAGGTCTATTGTTTCGCTATAATAAAACCCGTCACGATAAAATGACGTCGATGACAATCTCCGTCTCGAAATAAACATTTAATGCGACAGAAAATGTCAGATCTGAATGAATGATTTATTTCTATGACGCAAATAATGTTGTGATACTGAAATTAATTAGAAGCAGGTATTAGATGAAGCAAACCTTGTATGTGCGTCATACAAAAGTCTATAAACAATATATGACAGATAGGATATCGTTTTGTCAACTATAATACATGTAATATCAATATAATTATTTGTTCGGACATATTAAAAATAGAAACTAATTAATATTAGTAAAAATTTTGTTATAAAAAATACACAATTATTTGTGCAGAAATTTCTAAGAGTGTACATAATTAGCGTCAAATGAAGAAGCTTCAGAAAAAAAAACTGCGTTTTTTCAGGAAAATTAAACATGTATATTAAAAATACACATTAAGCTATAATATACATATATACGTTAATTAAGATAATTACATATAAATTATCTTATAAAAGTAATCAATAAACTTTGTTAAATATAAAAAGATTATGAGCTCGAAAAAGATTGCAATAGCTTCGGCATTTGCGGTCTCAAATGTCAGGAAGGATTAAATCCAAATCACAAAAAGAAAGAAACAAAGAAAAAAGAAAGAAACAATATAGTAGACTGGATTATAATATATATAATCGACCGTCTTTTATATCTCTATAAAAGTTCTCTATCTTCATTTTACATGCTCATAAATATAATGCATTTTTCATTTTAACGTCGATATAGAAGAAATCTATTTATGTTCAGTAGTAACATTCAATTCTTCAATTATCAGGGAAGGTTACAGGTTTTCCATACCGAGTACGTGATTATTTCTCGTTGCTGCGTGGATAAAGTAGAGAGAAACATAGCGCCATTAAAATTAAAAAAAAGAAATGTCAAAATTTGATATGTTGTACAAAAAGCCAATTTTACAACAGTTACACAATTTTTGCATTACACTAAACGATTTATCAATTTTGAATGTTTGGTAGGAATCAACGAAACAAATGCAAATTTGATGAATTTTACGCAGATTTCAAATTATACATAGTTCGGCGCTAATTTAAAAGTTTAGTGTAATATAAAAAAAAGAAGATTACCTCTAAATAGTAAATAGTTAAAATAATCAACGTTTCTTTAATATTAATAATTTATCGTACTATTTTAATTCAACATTAAAAATAACTTTATGTTTTATCTTCGCTAATTTAAAAATTTACAAACTTATTTGAAATCTTATTTCTATAAAAAAAAAAGGAACGTAAATATTGAAATAATCTTGACAAAATTGTTAGGACAATCTCATAATTTCATACCTTTCTTTATGCTGCATTTGTTTGAGCATAATATCCGCCAATGGATCGGCAGGTGGTCTCTCTCCTAAAAGTCTCTGTCGGTCCAGATCACCTTGCATTTGCGCAAAGGCATGCTCACCAATATTGACCGAAGTCTCCAATTGTGCCGAAAGTTCTACCGTCTCGTCACCTGTAAATAGGAAACGTGTTTCTCAAAAAAATCATGTTTAACCTTAGATTCTCTCACTGTACCTAGGTTATTATCCCAAATAAAATTTCTCAAATCTATATAAATGAATATTTTACAAACTGTCTCCTTAATATTTTTCTATGCATTTTTCTATGCAAATGAATTCTTTACTGATACCTGATGTTTCAATGGAAAAAAATATATTAAAATCAGTTAAATTTTCTTAAATTTATGATGAAATGTTAGAAGTGGGATTGCTATTACTCCAGTGTGGGAAATCCGTGATAATTTGAAAAATTTGAAATGTAGAAACCAATGATTAAATCTCAATATGTATTTACAATACTATAAAGTATCAGGCTTCACATTGAAAATTAAGCTTATATAAAATTTTATTAAAAATTTAGTTAGAATGGAAAAAAATGAATATTTATTTGTTTCGATTGATCAACTTTCATCTTAATCTTCAATACATAATCTAATATGGACTTAATGGAGCGTTTCGTTACCGTGCAAAGCGTGCTGAGGATTGTCAATAATTCTAATTTGTCTATCCGGGAGTAAAGGTTCTCCATCCGTTCCGCCAATATCATTCGGCAACTGCCAGCAAGCATTATCCTGTTCTGCCAAATTTCGGGGAAAATAAAGCGGCAGAAGGACTTCATATATTCCAAGATCACATGGTTCCAATACAAATATAACACACGTTAACGAATCGCTGTATTGCTCCATGAATCTACGTACAGTTCCTAGAAAAGGAAAAATCATTTATTTATCACGTGTTAAATTGATATAAATATTTGCTTTATACTTACTTTATACTTGCTTTATACTTACTTAGAGCTATGTGCGCTCCTGCATCCGGAGGATAATTTCTCCGTACTGAATTTATTACTGGTAGAGCAATGGTACGCAATCCCATTTCTCTCGCCTTTTGTAGAACATTTCTGCGATAAAAAAAATTATAAGATCAAAAAATTTAAATCTTTTGCTACGAAAAATCTAGAAAGTGATTATAATAGTTGCTTGCGAATCTACTTCTATATGAACGATTACTATGAAGCGCACAAACATCTGGTCTGCTCTAAAATTGTAATATAAAATATATAATTTGTTATATTATATATTCTAAAAATTATAAAAAATATAATTGACAATTATATTAACAATTATATTGATGTAATATGAAATATCTCAACTTATGCATATCGTTACGCATATTTAAAAAAATCTATTCTACAATTGTATTGCTATAACTTTTAGTTCTTTTTATTTTTATGTTATAGTTATATCATATATTGCATTTTTTTGTATTTTATTTCTTATTATTAAATATATATTTAAATAGAAAAAAATTATAATTTTATTATAATCAAATTTCTGCTACTTTGTACTTAAAATACTTATAATAACAAATTTGAGCAAGAAGTATGTAATAAGAGATATTTTTATTAATTATATTATTAAATTTCAAATAATTTTTTTTTCATCATTCATGACTTGTAGACAGATGACAAATTGCATGATGCTACAAAGAAGCAAAACAGAATTCGTGACAGGTTTTATAGTGGTTTTATAGCGCTTCTTGATTAACTCTTTCATAAATTAAAATTATTATATAGTTTATACATTTTTTTGTAATCAAATTTATTTCCCGAATATTTTATTAATATCACAACAAAAGTAAAAAAATTTTATTTATGTTTACCTACATAAATTAAATATATAAATTACCTATAGCAACAATGTAACGTGTTTTGCGCAGCTGTTTGATACTTGACATTATAAACTGGTCCAACAGTATGAATAATAAAACGAGCAGGTAATCCATGACCCTGTGTTACTCTTACTTCACCAGTTCTGCATTCTGTAATTAAAATTATAACATATTGAATATTGAGGCAGAAGTTCCACCATTGTCGATACAATCAGAATACAAACCTTTTATTTCGTTAAATATCTCTATTTTGAGCGCAGAACCAGCTCGGTTCAATATTCTTTGGCACATAGGACTATTATCATCCATCGTCTCGTTGGTAGGATTTACTACTGCATCTACTTGTAATATCGAGATATCTCCAGTCCTGAAATAATTTATTAATCACTTAATATTGCATTAAGATATTATATCAACTTTATTTCTTATTAAGCAAATAACTTGAGAAACATTTGAAAAATCGCTTTCATGACATTGAATTTCAAATCTATATATAATCTTACCATAGCGCGAGTTTGTTGTTAAGCGACGGTTGACATGGGAAGGGACTTATGGTATGATGTGCCGTTTCTCGAACTGAATCGGAGTAGTTCGTGTATCGATACTGGATGGGATAATCAGCCCATCGTTTCAATACGGCCGGCTCCACGATGTCCTGGGCGACACCCAAAGGTTCCATCAGCCTCATTCAGCTGAAAATCGAATCATACGCTATATAGACCACACACTTTGTCTATTCTCCAATAAAAAACGAAGTCGCGTCTCTTTGTTTTCCTATCAGCTGTTTCGAGACTAACCTCACCTCATTTCTGCCATTTCTCTGCCTGACGTGCGTCATACGCGGCGCGGTCATTGACCCGGAAAGAGTATGTATAACATTCGGCTCAGCTGGCTAATATTTGACGCAATACGAAATTTATGTTATGCAGTTAAAATATATATCTGACAGAGAAACAATTAAATGCACGTTGCCCCGAATTTTAATAATTAATAATATAAATAATATAAACGCATTATTACTTTAAGAACTTAGCCTTAATGAAAAGAAATTTTAAGTTATCTTTTTGATTAATATTTTCAAAATCATTCGGTAAGATTCTCGTAAATCGATTGTATATCGATTGTAGAGATCGATAGTTGATCGATAGTAAAGACATATTCGAGACATTCTATGTAAAAACGCGATGGACTTTAGGTTACATTTCGAGTTACTCCAAACGCGTGTATTTGTTCGATTCACGTAACGAAAGGGCCGAGCGGTCGGCATTTCTCATCGTATATTTCTAAAAATAAATAAAATTCCGTCGATAAAAATGTGGGCCGCGCACCACGGACAAGGAAAATGATGCTCGACCAAGGACGCAACTCCGATCGAGCGACTCGAAAACACGAGCTATCGCATATCTCATTAAAAAAAAAAAATGAAGAAATAAATACAATTATAAATTATATAATTGCGCACACACACACACACACACACACACACACACACACACACACACACACACACACACACACACACACACACACACACAAC